CAAGGCGGAGCTGGCAACGCATCAGGCGGCCTTCCAGCGCTCCCCGTATGCGATCGTCTTGAGCGAGGAGACATGGCGCCGGGCGAGCCTCGACTTCTTCAAGCTGGTTGGGCTGGGGCTTCGGGATTGCTGCTCGTTGTGTGGGCCCCATCCAAAGGTAAGCCACATGGCTTGCCCATGCGGAAGACGGGAGGTCACAAGATTCTTCTGTCTATCGTGTCCTTGCTGTCTGTCATTTTGTGACCGTGAGAGACATGCCTTCAGTGTACATTCTTCCATAATCAATGTACATTTGCTGATAATTTGTGTACATTCAATGACATCCGTGTACATCGAACAATATTCGATGAATGTCAAACCCTTAATTCAGTGGTCAATTTGCATATCATTGGCTCGACATATTCGTTGACCTACCCGGCACAAAATGGGCTCCTTTGCCAGGTCCTCATCTGCGACGGCATTGTTGGCCTTGCCAGCGCGGACGGCGCGCAGAAGCCTGGAGGGCTCGGGAGCTCCTTGCTTGATGCGCGACGGACGTTTGTCCATCCCAGTCGGCACGCGTCCGGAGCGCTTCTTGAGAAGCGATCAATTTCGGGGCGCGACTATTGTGGAGCCGGCCTCGAGGGGGGAGGTTTGAAGCGCAAGCTTCTGTTGCAGCCGGAGATACGAGAGGCGATTGCGCGCCTCTCGCAGCACCGCCCCAAAGACGAGAAGGTCGGGGAACGGCTGTCAAGGGCGGAGTTCGAGGCGCTGTTGGCCGGGCTGGCTCACGAGGACCCCCAGATTGTGAAGCGCTTTGGGCCGGGCGAGGCGGAGGGGCCACTTGCGGAAGATGGCAGGAGGCGCCTCCTTGTCGAGCAGCGGACGATGGTGCTGGATCGCAATCGGGCCGTGTTCGAGTTGCTGACCGGGATCCAAGCCGAGTTCGAGAGGCGAGGGTTGAGCGCAAACCTTTGGGAGCACTGGGTCGGCGAATGGACAGATCTCCTCTATTCCCTCGGCGCGCACGATTCGGACGAGGACCTAGTTGGCAGTAAGGCGTTGCACGTGGTCCGGAGGCTGCTGCTAGGCGGCGAGGCAACCCTTGAGGACCGGCGGGACTTGGCAAGGGACGCGCCCATCTTGCGGCGCATCCTGGACGCGTACGGCGGCCTCGCGTTTCCCGCCTTCTTCACGCGCACCCTGTACCATCTCTACTTGCTTGCTCTCCTGGCTCGGGGTGCGACAGGTTTTGAAGTCGAGGGGCGGCGGGGCTGGGTTCATGAGGCAATCGACCCGTTCGACCAAGCGGTCGACCTTCTTGCGGAGGCCCGGGGGCGTCCCCTGAGCATCGAGGAACGACGGCAGCTCGACGAGGCACGAGGTCTGGCAAACGAGCTGCTTCCCGGGGTTGAGAGGTTGGAGCCAAGCCCCGAGCAGTGGGAACGGATGATCGCAGCCGAGCGGTTGCTTCTCAGGGAGCGGTTGGGAAGGGACGAGAGTGGGGCGGAGCGCCCTCCGCTGCCAACGGGGCACAGCTTCCGAGCGGAGCAGGACGCGCTGGCGTGCTATACCCTTCCAGGGTGGGAGCAAAAGCGCGGCTTGCCGTGGTACAGCTCGTTTGAGCATCCGGACGGCCGTAGCCGAACCTCAGAAGAGTTCAAGTGCGCAACAGGGAAGACGGTGACCGAATGGGACGCCGAACACGTTCCCGGACTTGTCAAGGGCGCCGGAAAGCTCTCGGGAAAGAAGAGGAGTGCGAGCAAGCGGCCTAAGAGGACTCGAGGAGCGTTCGTTTTCTGTTGTCCCCATCGGGTCATTTACGGCTATCACATAATGCTTCGCGGCGAGTCTCCTCGGGACGCATTCGCCGTGCTCTTTACGCGGCTGAGACGAGAGGACCTGCCTGACGTGCTGGTGCACGACAATGCCTGTGCGCTGCGCAACTACTGCATGCGCAGGGCACCGGCGCACTTTGCCAACGTTCGGTTTGTCGTCGACAGGTGCGCGTCACTTTTACATCATCGCACATGGTTCGACAATCCGTGTGAAGTCTTGTTTGCAGTGGCCGTCGTTGTTGGGCATTGAGTAGAGATTGTAGTGTACATCATCTGGTATTGTGTGTACATTGAGAGTCATTTTGCTGTTGGAACGGTGTCAAGAGCTGTGATTTTTGATTCAAAACATGTACATTGGGTATTCTTCTAAAAATGTGAACTGATGTACACCTTTCCGTTGACAGGTTTCATTTCTCAAAGGCCGGGCAGGAGGTACACAAGTGCGGCCCCTCAAATTGCCCAGACAGTTATCCGTCGCTCCACTGGATAAACACTAGTGCGGTGGAGTCGGTGAACTCCTTTCTGAAGGGGTTCAGGAGTCTGGGGTGGTACTCGGGGCTCGAGAGCTTCATGGTGATCCTGCCCCTCCTCCTGAGAGGCTACAATAGCTCTTTGAAGCGCGTCGACGACGCCAAACTTAGCATCGCCCTTGCAGCGGTTGTGTGGACGGTGGGGGTGCGCGCTCGATTGTTGCACGGATGATTTGGTGCCGCCTTGGTGTTGATTGGGCTCCATTCAGTGGCGATACACACGTTAATACACAAATTCGAGCAGT